AACAGGATGGTGTCCAAACAGGTAGCAAGCTCAGCCCCCACCTCACAAGCTACTGTGATCATCCTACAGCATGAATCTGTCTGTGGTTTATTTGCCTCACCTGAGGCTACAGCAATTTACCTAGTAAGTTGAACCTGGGGCTTGTGAGTTTATTTTATTGGGTTGTCAGAAAAGTCATGATGCATTTTTTCTGTTTTTCGTTGCAAAAATGTGTCATGACTTTTCCGACAACCCAATATTTTTCTTTTTAAGAATAACACAAAGAGAAACCTACCAAGGAATAAGGCACACAGCAGACAAAATGAGCAGATTACTCTGCATATTGAAGAAGATTGTCAATATGTTACACTTCTTATTCATTTGATTGCTGTGGGCTTCATCATACTCTGAACTAGATGAAAGAGAAATAGAACTAAAAACAAAGAAAAATCCGTTGAAGACATTGAAAAGGCTGGATAAAGACAGAAATTGGTAGAACCCAGAGTTGTCTTCATTTAATAATACGCTCTCTCCTCTTTTCTATTTTGATTCAGTCCCTCCTATTGTATTTTGTACATGTCTATCTTATCCACTTGCTGTCTCTATCTTTTGGTTCTATTTATCCATCCATCCATCCATCCCATAAGTGTTACAGAATGCCTAATATATTCTAGAATCTTGGGATACATCAGTGAACAAAACAGATGAGTGTGATAGATAATAACAATATCTTATAAATAAGTAAATTATATAATTTATAGAAAGTGATAAGTTTTATGGAAAAAAGGAAAAATGAACACAGGGTAAGGCGGCTTAGTCATTGGGGGTAAGTATATTAAATTGCAGTATTATTAATGGTGATCAGAGTATGCCTCACTGAGAAAGTGATAGCTGAGCTGAGACTAGAAGGAGGTGAGAAAGTGAGCCAGACAGAGAACTGTGGGAGAAAGCACTTCCAAGAGAGGGAAGGGCTCAGGCATACCTGCTATGTTTGAGGAACAAAACGGTGGTGGTTCAGCTGAAACACTGAGCCTGGAAGAGTGCAGTGGAAATGGAAGTCAAAGGTCCTGGGGAACCAGATCTCCAAGAGCAATGTGGGCCATCATGAGATTTGGCTTTTATCCCAAGGTGGGAGCCACTGTGGGAGGGACAGAGGATGTCCTATGTTTTAAGTGGACCTCTCTGGCTTTTGTGTTGACAAGAGACCATAAAAGTGCAAATTTATGTCAAATATAAAGCAAAGACCACCAGAGCTAAAAAAAAATAATAATAAATTTAAAAAAAAACAACAAACAAAGCTGAGTATGTACTTGCCAAGGCACCAGTGAAAAAGTTCACTGAGTCGGGAATAGTCAGAGTGTTTTAAATATGAGAAAGTGGGAAGGGGGTTCATATGGTTTTACTAATCAAGGATTGAAAAGCAGCTCTCAGAACAGAACAGTGTCAGATAAAAGAAATCCTTTGTTCACAGGTCAGGAACCAGTCTCCAGTTGGGTCTAACAAGGGTGTGGCCCAGGTCACCCAGAGTTCACAGACCTTCATCAGCTTTTGTTGGTTTGAACCAGTTGAGGTATAGCATAGCATCCGATTTTGCTATCTCCTAGGCAAGTGCTGTAAGTGGAAAATTTTCCTTTTACAGTTGAAAGCAGAAAAACCTGTTAGGAAGCTCTTGCAGAAATCCAGGCAGAAGATGACAGGGCTCATTCCAGCCTGTACCATGGAGGTGGTAAGAAGCGGTTCGATTCTGGATATATCTGGAGATGAATAAAGAATGACTCCTAGGTTTTTGGCCTGTGCAGCTGGATGGCTGGAGTGGCCCTGGAGATAGGAAAGCTGTGGGTGGAGCAGTTTGGGGAGAAGATTAGGAGTTCATGCGAGTTTAATATGTCCATTAGATGCCTGAGTGGGGACAGCAATAGAGACAGTTCTGGCTGGTGACATAAAGTTGGGGTTTGAAGGAGTGTAAGGTGTTATTGAATGCCAGGAGACCACATGCACGCACCTGGGAAGACAGAACCCTGGTTTCCTTCTTCTAGTACCCAATTTTAACTCATACAGACTTTGATCATAATCAAAGTATTCTTGTAAGCCTCCTCAAATATCCTGTAGAATAATGTGGGAATAGAAAACAATGGATGATCTTTGAAACTCTCAGTGTGCCTAACATGATGTTTTGAAAAAAGTACTCAATAATAGCTACCTTTCAATCTCTTACTATGTGCCAGACACTGGTGTTTACCAGCATATCTTGCTTAATCTCCCCGAATTTATTAGATGTCATTTTACAGATAAGGAACTGAGGCCAGAAAAGTTGAGTAATTTGCCTAGTGTCATACAGGGAGCTAACAAAGACAGGACTGGGGATTAAGCCTGAATTCATGAGTGCCTTTTAATTCTGCTTGCAATAGCAGTTTAGTAATGTGGGTAGAGAGCAAAGCCAGTAGAAGATGAGGAGTACCAACAGCTTGTAATTCCTGGCATAGATCAATTTTGTGCAGTAGTCTTTATACTTGAGTGTGTTACTGAATCACCCTGCAGGCTTGTTAAACTACAAATTGCTGGACTCAACCCAGAGTTTCTGATTCCACAGGCCTGGAATGTGGCCACCAATCTGCAGCTCGGTATACCAAGTTCCCAGGTGGTCCTGACGCTGCTGTTCTGGGGAGGACACCGAAAGCCACTGGGTTGGCCAATTTTCCCTGACTCTGCTGCTAAACAGACTGCCTGCACCTGCCCAATTCCCAAGTCTAATTCCCAAAAGGGGAGAAGGGAGGTCTGCAGCCAGAACTTCAGAAGGGCCTTTGGGGATACTTCCCTCTGTTTTGACTAACAGCTTGCTCCTTCCCCAGGCACAAGGCTGTTGGGGGAGAAGAAATGAAGGGATGATGGTGGCTCAATTCCAGGTATTCTCCAACACACAGTTTACCAATTTGTCTAGTAGGAGTCCTTCTTTTATTATTATGCTCCCAGCAGTCTCACTGTCTTTTCCTAGGAACGAACTTTATCATCACCCCTACAGTTTCCAATGTCTATTAGGCACAGAGTGGGTTCAGGTATGATGGGCCCTACAAGCTTCACAACTACTGAGGGAGCCCTTTAAGAAAAATACAAACTTATTTTTACACAATGAGTGGAGGGCCTTCGAAGGAACTTGTGCAAGAAAGGTGCCCTATAGCTGAAGCTTCATTTGCTTCATGGGAAATCAGCCTCTGATCAAACATGTCTGTTTATGTCTGAACTCCAATTATAGCCATATACAAATTATTTCCCACAGGTCTCCTGAGCCTCAGGCTAATCAGAGGACATGGCTGATTTCTGATTAAGAAAACCTGAGCATTTCCTGGCTGTAGAGGCTTGTCTGCCCTGAACCTGGGAATGGTGAAGAGCTGCTGACTCCTGGAGCCGCACCTTGGAATGTGAGCTTGACCCAGCTAAGGCACTCAGGCCCTTACTGCTTTAGGCAGCTCTTCGCCTCTCTTGCCCTAGGCCTAAATAAATAGGGAAAAGCCAACTTAGAGATAATAATTATTCCTATTTCATTACATCAAGACCAAAATTTGAGGGCCGGCCAAGTGGCGCATTGGTTAAGAGCTGGCTTGGGACGCCAGAGGGCCCGGTTCGGATCCCATATATGAGGGCCAGTGACACTGCCCTCTACAGCTAAGATGCTGAACAACAGCTCAATCTGGAGCTGGGCTGCCCTGAGTCGCTGGCGATGGCATAGGCTGCAGCCTCTGTGGCAGTGGGTTGCCATGGGCTACCGTGTGTAGCCAGCAGCCAGCGTGAGCGGCCAGCAGCCACAGTGAGCAGCCGTCCAGAAGCCGGCGACTGATGTGCCTCACCTGGGAAGAGCGCACTGATAATACCAACATGGGCCAGTGAAGCAATGTCCTCCACAACTAGACTGAAGAACAAAACGACAGCAACTTGTCTGTTCCCCTTCCACCAATTTCCCAGCACTGTTCCCATTCCCCAATAAAATAAAAAATAATTAAAAAAAAGAAAATTTGAGTACTCCATTTTAACACCAATATTCAGAAAAATGAAACTACTTTTCAAAGTCATTAGGTAAGTCCATTAAAAATAAATTAATTTATAAATAAAATAAGGGCTTGCTTGACAAAGAAGACTACTGCCTAGGGTAGCACTTGGCGTTCCTTTTGTTAAGTATTTCTGAAATCTTATCTTCCTTTGTACTTTGTTCTAAGCCATATTAGAGGCGGGCTTAGGCTTAAAAATACATAGATTCACTCAATAAATACTTTTAAGCATAAGTAAATGGCTCTGGAGTTAGGGGAAGTTATTAAAATAGTGTTAGGAGTTTAGAGGAAGTTAGTAAAATAGTGTTAGGAGTTTCGGGGAAGTTACTAAGATGAGTGAAGAGCTCCCTAAAGGAGCTTAAATTAAGTTTTGATAAGAAGAGGAAGGCACATCAAGAACCTCAACCTATGGGGGAAAGGACATCTAAGAGGCGTGAGATGGCTTCCTGACGAAGACTAAAGGAGACCACGTATGATTGGGCCTTGAGGGAAACTCGTGAACTAAACGCCTTAAGAATCTTTACAAGGCAGCACTGGACACTTTTTAGAGAACAGTCTGCTCTTTCCCTCTAAGGTCACTGCTGCTTTATACACACAGAATAGCCACAATCCAAGGGCAGGAGGATTCCAGGAAGCACTCCTGAATAGTCTATAGGATGATGCAAAGATGAACAGAGTCAAGTCCCAGTCCTCCAGGAAGCGCCACCAGGAACTGAATCAGGTCCGGGGTATTCTCCAAGCGGCTGAGAGGCAGAGGTGCAAACCGGGGGAGTCACTGGAATGGATTTTCCAAGCCGGTCTTCGGAGCCGCGAGGCTGACTCAGTCCTCTGCAAGGCTTTCAAATTGCAGCGTGAAAGATGCGGACGCAGACATCCGGGTCGGAGCAGGAGCGAGGCCTCCCCCAGCGCCCCGCAACCCCGCCCCAGCCCCGCCCACGCGCCACGGCGGCTGCGCGGCGAGGCTCCTGGTCTCCACGTGATTGCCGTCACTGCCTCCGCGAAGCGTGTACCGCCATCATAAGTCCTGGCGACCCGGCAGAGCTGCCTCGCTCCTCCTGCCCGCGGAGCAGCGGTGACGGGCTGGGGTTGTGCTGCCCCGCCCCGCCTGGCGGGTGGAACCGTGGGCCTCTGAGAGCCTGTCGAGGGGTTCGGACCAACAGCTTCAGGGGCGTACAGCGGAGCGGCGGACCCCCCAGGGGACAGCACGGGGGGGCGGTGCCCAGGGCCGCGCCCCGCCCCTCGCAAGCCTGCGCCGGGAGCCGGTGGCTCTTGCCCGTTTCCAGTATGGCCGCCCACCGTGTCTGACTCGCAGCCTCTCCGCTTCGACTACTCGTAGGCTATGCCGAGGCCGTGGCCGTGACTGACACACTCGCCCACACGCACGCACGGACCCTGAGCCCGAGCCCTGGGCCCGCCGCCACTCTAGCTCCGGCACCGCCGCCCCAACCCGGACCACGGCTCCCGCGCCGCCGCTTCGCCGAGAAGGGCTGCGACGGACCTTGAGCGCGGCGGCCCGCGGCCGGCAGGGATGGGGAAGCGGGCGGGAGGAGCAACTGGAGCCGCTGCCGCCTCCACGTCCGCCGGGGCCGGTCTGGAGCCCGCGGCGAGCCGCGGCGGGGGTCCGCGGAGCGCAGCCGCGGGCCTCCTGGGAGCGCTGCACCTGGTGATGACCCTCGTCGTGGCCGCGGCGCGGGCCGAGAAGGAAGGTAGGTGTCACCGGCCGGCATTTTCCCGGCCCGGCTCCGCGCTGTCACTGCGTCCTCGCGGAGGCCTCTGCCGGGTGGCAGGGGCCGCGCGGCGCGGGGCTCCGTCCGGCCGAAGTTGCCGGATCGAGCCCGGTCCCGAGCCGCCAACCAGATATTAAGACGCAGCGTTGGCCGCACAGAGTTGCTCTTATTGTCCGTGACTCCTTCCCCTTGTCTTCACCCTTGTCTCCTGTCATTGCCATTTCAAAACTTCCTGACTTCTCAGATATTCTTGCCACTTGGCCCATTCGTGGGGGAAAGGGGGGGGGGAAGCATATTTTTAGACTTGATGGCTGTTAATGGGCAAATTTTAGGACTTTTTTCTTCTCGGTTGAGGTTTTAATAACGGTGTGCAAACAGAGCTCACTTTAAAATGTCGTAGTAAAAATAGCGAGACTGGTGGAAGGGTCAAAACATAGTTTGCAACATTTTACTTTGAATTTGTTCAAACATTTCTTGGAGAGGAATCTTGTTTCTTCAGCTTCCCTCTCCAATATCTCTTTCCAGTGTTAATGGTTGTTTAGCTGACAATTTTCTCCATATAGGTATATAATACAGTTCTATTTTGCTTTCCAGTAAGCTGTTGAAAGTCTGTTTACATTTTTTTTTAACTTTAAGATGCTAGTTGGGTGTCATTGTCATCGATGTGAAAGACCTTAAAAATGAATGTCAAGTTTCTAGTTTGCAAACCTTTGTTTATAATTTACAGTTAAGGGCTGGCCCCTGTTTTAAAAACTCATTGGTATTATATGACTGTAAACCGGTACTTTTATAAGGTTAAACATTTTGTAACCTAGAAGACCAAATCTGTCATTTTGCCCACACTACCGGTTTTTGAGCCTAGGGAAATGAGCCACAGAGCCTTTGTGAAGAAATCACTAAAAGTGAATGTTTTTTAAAAAGCTAAGCAAAACTTGTTAGTTTAGCTTTTGTTTCACATTAAATTGCCACTGCAAGAAAATAATTTCTTGCCACAGTAAACTTTAGGGTTGATGTTCCACTTTATGACTAAAGTCACTTGTTTTTTATAGTTACTCAAAGCACCAGCAAAAGCAAACCAGTTTAATGTTAAAGGGCAAATGTGCTTCAGTTTACTGTTCATTTTTGTTCAAAACATTACATTCCCTCTTTTCACTCTCTAAGCAACCTTAGCCTGGATTAACATAGGTGGAAATTATTCAAAGAATTGCCATCTATAGAAAGGACTAATTTACAGAGGCAGGGTGATTTCCAGAATAAAATACGGCTACTTTTTGGCCAGTCAGGCCCGGGGTTGTAGTTCATCATTGGTTACACAATCTGCAGTTAGTTGATTATTCTTGTGTGTCCATGGTCTCAGCACAGCCTGGCATGTCGCTGGTGTCCAGTAAATCTAAAATAGTCCAATAATGTAATGGGCATGTCCCCTGGGGTTTAAAGTTGTCCTCAGCAGGTACTGGGGCCTTCCTTTTCTTTTCCTTATTTACCTTGCACAGTGCCAGGCATAGCAGGCATTTAACATTGTTTGTGTGAATGGCTATCTTCATGGGCCATTATTAGCACAGGGAAATAAAAGAATGATTGAGTTTAGTAAAACATGAAATTTGTATTATTATCCTGCTGCGTATTTTTCCTAGAGCCATTTTATATGCTGTTTCTCTGTGTATAGTTCAGTAAACAAATCCCTTTTTGGAGAAACATCAGCCTAAATTATATTTGCTAATTTCCCATTTGTATAGTTTATAAGTTTTAGTGCACCTCTCTAGTACTCATAACTGTCAGGATCAGGGTAGGAGAATACCTGCGAGGGTGTAAAATATGAAAAGATGTGTAATCAGCCAGCGGTCCTGGCGAAATCAGACATCTTGTTTCTGAACAATATGAGGGTACAAACAAGCTGTTCAGATACTGATGGTGCTTGTACTAATAAAGAACACAGGCCCTCTGCCCATCATGGACGCGCCTTGTTCAAATGAAATATTCCCGAAGGTAGCTCCACAAATGCCTGTGCTTTCCACCTTCCTGCTAACCTAGTATTGTTTTTGTTTAGGAGGAGAAATGAGATTGATTTTCTTACATGATGTGAAACCACGAATTTGGCATCTGATGGGGCACAAACACATTTGACCCAAAAGGATGCTGTTGAGTTTTTTCAGCAAGTCTGGGCAGATTTCTGAAGGTGGCTGAGCTCAGATTGTCAATTAACCCCCTGGGGATTTTTCTGTACTTGCTTTTAAGTAATATCAACAAATTTACTTTTTCAAAGTTAAGATTTACATGCAATTGTAATGATGTTTCTCTGGGTATTTTGTATGTTTGTATATTTTTTTCCTCCACTGCAGTGGAATTTCACTAGAAAACCTTCAAAACAAAATAAAACTTGTTTTCTGCTGAAGAAAACCAACAGAAATAGCAAAATTACCTAGTGCAGTTTTTCATGTTTGAACTAGATGTTAACTTTCTTGAGCCAGAAGCACAAGCCATTCGTTGAATTAACATCCTATATGTCTAACATTCCGTTATCGTAATATCCATGTTCACTGATCTGTGCAGATGTGTTATCACTGGTCCAGAGAAAAGGGACCTTTGAGAATGTTTTGGCTGTGCTCTATATTTTGTAAGGACTTTGAAAGAGTTGCCAGAGGTAGAAGTTACTATAATTACTACAAATAACTCACTTATTCTGGATTGGTGTCAATCTTTTTCTTGAAGCTAAGGTCTAGATATTGAGGTTAGTGAGAGGAGTGTGTGTGTGTGTGTGTGTGTGTTTAGTGAAATATATTAAAAATGTATAGTGAAAATATGTGATATCTTAAATGTATAAATTTCAGTAGTATTTTGATTTATAAATCAGCTCATTATGACCAGCAAATAAGAACGTCTAAAAAAAGCATTGCATGTCATGTACTATAGTTTTCATTGCGAAATGGGTTTATGGAAGGCATGTTTGTTCTTTATTTAAATGTAAAGGTACATTTTATGTATCTAGTGAATATAAACTTGGATAAATTTTCAGGAATATGGTTGTTTTAGTCTATGACAATTTAAATTTCAGTGTCGCACACATTATTGAAACTGGAGGCCAACCCAGTCTAGGGCTCGTGCTGCCTGCGCCGCTCAGCCAATAGACCCACACAGGAGTTGGGTCATAGAATAAGCGTTTATTATCAGAGCACCTGGTGGTCTGAGAAGGCAGTGGGTTAATACCTCTAAAAACTGCCTTCCCATTTTCAGACCGGCTGGGGGTCTGGTGGAGCCTTCCCTCTGGCAAAGTGATTCTTTGGTGGAATCAGCAACTCAGGAACAATGATGGGAGAAGCCTGGTAGACCATTGAGATTGTGATCAATAAGCCTAAGGGTATTAATCATAAGTTTCAGGGTAAATTTCTAAAACAGGGAACTGGGTGGGACAGGGGACATTCTGAGCTCAAGTCGCAGGGGGATGATCTATTAAGCTGTAGGTAGGTCAAGGAAAGGTGAGGCCAGGGACTGGAGAGGCCTTTACTGTGGGGGTCTCAACTGGGCCCTGTTTCAGTATCATTAATTGGTTGTTAATGACAGGGCAAAGTGTGGCCGTCTTTATTAGGACTTTTAAATTTGTTTGCCAGATACTTTAGTTTCATGCACATGTTTTTGTTTTAAGGTGTATACCTGACAAGTGCAGGAGGAGGCCACAATAGTGTTTTATCTACGAAGCCTGTGAGCAGAGTGCTCAGGAGTAAAGGCCAGAAGAAAGAGATCAAAACCTCATTTGATTTGGTGATTTGTCCTGGGGTGGTAGAATTGATTAGGAATGGTATTTACTTTTTTTCTAATCAAATTATTACTTTATATAAATGCAAAAATATTTTTTAAAGTGATTTTCTCAAGAGTGAGATGTTTTAATCTTTTTTGTATGACTATTTAATTTAGGGTATGGTAAGTAGAATATTACTTCATTGATATGCTTTGCTAATGAACTTTAGTTGCTTTTACTAAAAGCTTTGGAATGCTGTAGTTGGAAAATGTGACCTCTTTCTCTTGCTAATGACTGTTTCCTGCTCTTTGTAATCCTTGCAGGGGGTCTACATAGACACCTGCCAAAAAGGTTGGCTTCTGGAAGTAGATATAAATCGTCTAATTTGTCATCTAGAGTAGTAATAACACTGCTCTTGGGAGAATGAAGTCACTGCTGGGGCCTTGACATTTCAGAGGTTCTCCTTGGTTCTGCCTGTGGTTTCAGCTTGCTGATTGGCCTTGCCTGACCGGGAGGCCTTTCTGTGGCTGAATTTTCCCTTACTATCCCGCACTGTTGATAGCTGCTTCTTGGAACTTTTCTCCCTTGGTTTCTGTGACTTCGTACTTCTTGGTTATCATCCTGCCCTAGTGGTCAGTCACCATTCTCCAGCTGCTCAGTAGATGTCTTCCTTCATACGCATGTCTAGCCACCAGCACACTCCGCATATGTCCAGAGCAGAATTATCTCAGGCCACCTCTGGTTTCCCAGTTTTTATTGTCATAATTATTCTCCCTGCCACACTGGTCTCATTTTTTACCCTTTACCAGGCGGCATCAATACCTGTTGGTCAACTCTCTTATAGCCTCCAGCCTGGGGCGCCATAGTGGGCTCTCACCTCGAACTTTCTCCATTTCTGTTCAGTCCTTCAATCCCCTCTCAGAGTTTGCATTGTGTTTGTCACTCATCTGTTCATTTTGATGCTTAATTACATATTGTCGCGTTTAGCTACTTAAATTATTTTGTGGGTGTCATTCTTCGCCCAGACTGGAATTCCTGTAGGGCAGAGACTCTGTCAACATCTGCAGTGTGTACATAACAGGCATTCAGTTTGAAATGAAGATTTGCCTAAAACGATCTTCTCTCCCTTCGCAAACTTGAGACCTGGGTGGAGAGTCAAGAGTACAGGTAAAACTCTGAACTCAGACACATATGTCATTAGGAATTCTGCTGTCATAGGACATAGGGTGACACTGCTTTTTTCTTC